GGTCAATGAGGACTGCATCGAGCTTGGTCCAAAAGGCATCAGTAGTTGCAAAGGCCCAGGTGCCACTTTGATAGTGCTTCTTGGAGAAGGTCTGTCACCAGCATTCAATGTGCTTGCTGCAGACGAACGAGAGCACTGTAGTGAGGGCTCAATCCTTTCCCAGGCTTCCCATGTAGAGCTGTACTTGCTGCTTTCAGGTGTCATATTGTGCCTTAGTCCCATCAAAGGTGTCGGGCTCCTTGGGCTTGGGATGAGGTTGTGAGGGTGATGTCTAGAGCTGAGCAAAGAGTGTTGTGATTGCCATGTTGATGTAGGTTTGCATAGCCGCGTCAAGAGGTGCTGCCGTCGTTCTTGCTATGTGAGGAGTTTTGGGTGCAGAGGAGGGAGAGATGGTTTGGCAGGGAGAGATGGATGTGGCAGCAGTAGTGGATGCGCGAGAGATGGGGGCAAACACTGGGTGTGCACTGAGTTGTTGGAGCTGAGATATGATGTCATCGAGTTGATGTGGACAAGGGGAGAGGTCACAGGGATGGAATTTGTTGTAAGTGTTGAAACTGTGCTGCTCAGAGGACAGAAGTCCAGTGTGCTCGGGGTACGGAGTCCGAAGTCCGGCATGGGGTCCGGGTTCCGGGTTGAAGTCCCTAGCCTAGGGACTAGGTGTCCGAAGTGTTGTTGCAACTGCCAACGATTGGGCTGGAACCGGAGGGTTATGTCCACGTTCTCCCATGCCTCCGTGAGGAGTTGGAGGGCCTCGCCTAGATGGAGTCTGGCAAATTCGGCTTCAGGTCCTAGTTCCTCAAGTGCCGACTCTACTGCTGCAAGGTGGGGAAAGGCTGCTCGTTGGAAGAACTCTTAGGATATAACAGCAAAGAGGTTTGGCTGCGCTTGGTCGAGTATATTGTCGACATGTTCCACAAATTGGCTATGGCATCGGATGGACCAATAGTATGCTCAAGCGAAGGCTTCAGTTCTTTCATCTGACAGGAGAACCACATCGAGGAAAGGTTGAGAGTTGACAGTGGTGGGCAATGATGGTTCGGGGGTTTGTGGGCATTGTACCTCAACGTAGTCTTGTTCTAGGTTGATTCAATCGTTTTGGTGACTATAGAGTGGCGGACCCATCATTGGCGTCGTTGGGGGTGGTATGGTTGGCTGGAAGAGGGTTGTGGTGATTGAGGATGTGTTAGAGGATAGCGAGGTAGAGGTCAAGTGCCAAGCAGAGGAATGTAAGGGCAAGAAGGTATGCAACAAAGATGACGATGGTGGGGACTATGGTTACAATCCCCATGCATTGAAGTCGTCCTTCTTTGTGTCGGGGTGGTCTCGAGTGATGAGAGTGCGTTCAAGAAGTTGTTGAGCGAATTGACGAAGAATGTAGGCGACGGCCATGAGAGTGAGAGCAAAGAGGCAGAGGACGTAAAGGCAGAGGAGAGCGAGGATGAGGAGCATGTTGGGGGATCCTAGGCGAGCTTTTTGGCCTGCTTATATGCTCTGAGTAGCTCTTGGGCATGCGGTAGCAGCATGTCCTCTGGTTCCCACGTGTTTTCTGCGCTGGAGTATCCTTTCCACTTGATTTGGTATTTGATTCCGCCTCGTTGCATCTTGTGTCCCACGATTGCCTCTGTTTTATATTCTTCTTGATCATCAATCAGGTCAGGCGGTGGCCTCGTGTAGTTTGGGCCATGTGTGTCGTTTTCCTTGTATGAGGTGAGGAAGCATGCGTGGAACACGGGGTGGATCTTCCATGTGGTTGGAAGCTTGAGCCAGTAGTTGAGGCTGTTCAGCACTTCTGTGATTTCAAAGGGTCCTTCCCGTTTGGGTGCGAGCTTCCTTGTTGCATAGGATAGTTTCAGATTCTTCCCTTCGAGCCACACCTTCTGTCCTTTCTTAAAAGGGGTGAACTTTCCCATGGCACGGTCTTTCATTACTTGGCGTGCCAGTTCATGCGCTGCCAAGGCTTCATCTTGTGCCTTCTGGAGTTTGGTGAGCCTTTCCTGTACCAAGGGGACGTTTGTCTTCGGATAGGCGATTGGAATGAGTGTCAGGTTGTAGCCCATCATGAGGTAGAACGGGGAGGTGTTCCTGGATGAATGTGCTCATTGGTTGTGCGCTACTTCTGCATCAATCAGGTGTCTTGACCATGAATCTGGTCATCCTGCACAGAAGATTCTGAGGTAAACTTCCAGTTCCTGATTTGCTCGTTTGGTTTGGCCATCTGTCTGTGGGTGATACACTGTGCTCAATGAGAGGGTGATCTTCAAGAGTCTTCCTAGTTCTTTCGTAACACGTGAGGTGAATTGGGGACCTCTGTCCGATATGATCTTGTCAGGGAGTCCAAATTGTCGATAGACCGTCTGGTATAGGAGGGTTGCTGTCCCTATTGCGTCAATTGTTTTGTTGCATGGTGTTAGAATCATCCCCTTCGTAAGGCCATGGTCTACCACGACCATGATAGAGTCGTTTCCATCAGAGTCTGGGAGGTCAGTGATGTAGTCAATGGATATTTGCTGGAACGGTCTTGTGACCCCAGTGGCAGGGATTGGATTCAGGGGCGGTGTTGTCGGGTGGGTGTTGATCTTGTTTTGCTGACATTCTGCGCATCCTTCCACATATTGTGATACCATTGTGTGCATTCCTGGCCACCAGTAGTCTCGTTGTAATAGTTCCAGGGTCTTGAAGCGTCCAGGGTGTCCCATAGCGGGTGTGTTGTGGTATCTGCTGATAAGATCACGTCGGAGTGGTTCATCGGCTGGTACATAGCATCGGTTCTTGAAGAAGATCATGCCATCGTGTTCTCTCCAATCTGACAGTGCTGATTTGATTGCGGGTAGTGTTCCAGTTTTGAGGGCTATGTGAATGGCTTCAAAGATTCAATCCTTGGTGGCAAATTCTTAGAAGTGTGTTTGCAGCTCGTTATCAATTAGTCGCACAAAGAGGTGATCAGGGAGGACTATGTGATCCTTGTTGTTGTTCTTCTTGTCTTGCCCTAGTTCTTGTTTCTGCAAGAGTGTGTCAGATTGGATCATGTCTTTTCCTGGGACGTGGTGTAGTTGAATGTCGAATTCTGATAGGATCAACAGCCATTGGGCTTGTCATCGATTCAATCAGTGTGTCGGTAGTATGTCAGATTCTTGTGATCTGAGAGGACTTGAACTGGGTGTGGAGCTCCTAGGAGATAGTGACACCATTCTTGTAATGCTCTAATGATTCCAAGCAATTCCTTGTCGTAGATTTTGTAGTTCCGTTCGGCTTCAGAGAATCCCTTCGATAGGTATGCGCAGGGGTGGAGATCTCCATTTCCATTGCGTTGTCTGAGGACTGCTCCTGATGCTAAGTTGGATGCATCAGATTCAATGAAGAATGGTTTGGTCACATCGGGCATTAGGAGAACCGGCACAGTGGTGAATCTGATTTTCAGAGTGTCAAATGCTTGCTGGCAGGCAGGAGTCCAGTCCCATTTGGTGTTCTTCCACGTAAGGTCGTTCAGGGGTTTGGCAATGTCAGAAAAATGGTCAATAAATCATCTGTAGAAATTGCCAAAACCCAGGAAAGATTGGACTCCTTTGACGTCCACTGGTTCTTTCCAGTCCAAGATACCCTTGAGCTTGATAGGATCCATTGCTACTTGGTTTTCACGGATGATCGTTCCCAAGTATTCCACTTCTGGGGCATCAAAGGTGCATTTTTCGAGTTTCAGGAAGAGGTGGTTATCCAGTAACCGTTGCAGGACTCGTCGTGTTTGTTCTTCGTGTGTCTTCTGATCCTTCAAGAAGATGAGGATGTCGTCCATGTAGATCACTAGCCATCCTTCGTCGATCATGGCTTGGAATGTTCCGGGGGAGTTGCATAACCCAAAGAACATGACCATGGGTTCAAATAGTCCTCAATGTGTCTTGAAAGCAGCCTTCCATTGGTCGCCGTCTTTGATGCGTACATTGTTGTATTCTGATCGAAGGTCCAGTTTGGAGAAGATCTTTGCTCCTTGTAGCTTGTCGACTAGTTCTGTGATTAGAGGGAGAGGATAGATGTTCTTGATTGTTCCTTCGTTCAGATAGCGATAGTCTTGGCAAGGTTGTAGTGAGCCGTCCTTCTTTCTGACAAAGAAAAGGGGTGACGCCATAGGTGACTTGGATTCTCTGATGTATCCCTTCCGGAGGTTCTCATCGATAAACTTGTCTGCCGCTTGTTGTTCCTGTGGTGATAGTCGATATGGTTTGAAGTCTCTTGGTATAAATTCCGGCTTGAGTTCGATGGTGTGGTTCCATGGGCGTGATGCGGGGAATCTTTCTGCTGCTTTCTTCTCAAAGACTTGTGCAAAGTCTTGATAGGCTGTGGGGATGTTCTTCTGGGCATTCCCAGAGGCTTGTTGTGCCAGTGCCATGGCTGGATTGATCTTGGCCCGTATCCAAAGGTTCATGGAGCAAATGAAGTGTATTCTCTGCAGGGCTCGATGGATGCATCCAATCCTTGGACAGGGTCGTGCTTGTCTCATTGATTGGTCATCGGGGTTTGTTTGTTTGTTAATCCTCGTTTATACACCTCGAAGGCCGCGCCTTATGGTAGTGTCGTACACGTGACTAACGAATATCAGAGCCAAGCGCGTACTTAATCAACCACCCGAACCCACTTCGCTTCACCTCGCCACGGGTCATGTTGGTAACCTCCACATTCACCCCGACGGTCCGCTCCTCCGTCGGGTGGTCCCTCCCGCGCTAATTGGTCTGTGCGAGAACGCCCGCAGCCTGCCGGGGCTCGGTTAGCGAGTGCCGAATGATGGCCTGCGCTGCCCGCGGCGTTGGCTAGCCTGGGGGTGTCACCACGAGGACAATGTCCAGATGGATTTGGTCATGATGACGAAGTTAGGGGGGCAAGGGGCCGTGGAACCTCCTCGCCGTGTCGTTTGGATTGGGTGGGCCACCGGAAGAGTTCGGATGATATCGGGGGAATGAATGAAGAGAATGGACTGGTTAAAAGGGGGGCGTAAGAAAGTGGTGATGGGGTACCCGTTGCAGGATTCGAACCTGCGACCCGAGGAGCAAGTGCTCCTGAGCCACCCATGACACTCGCCACTGAGCCACCGGGGCCCCGGTCATCGGGGTTGTCAGAGGTGAGTTTATCTCCTAGCCAGTTAAGATCTCCATGATGTTTGATCATCTTGTCCAGGTAAGCAAGTAGAAGGTCTTCAGTGCATGCTTCCGAGTAATTGTCCTTCGGGGGAGGTAGTTCTGGGATTGGTATTGGTGCTTCTATGTTCTGTTCCTCTTGGTTGTTTTCTTCATCAGGAACCTCTTCTACCGTGGCCTTCCACATGATTCTTCCAGTGAAATGGTTCTGTTCTGGGAACCAAAGTTGTTGTAGTCGTTCTGAAAGTTGTAGATTAACTTTCGCTGGGTCGATTCTGAGTGATCCTCGAGTGAAATCGATTTTGGCATTAACTCTTTGGAGCCAGGGCAATCCAAGGATGATTTGTTCCTTTCCTAGAGATGTTACCAGCATGCGGACTAGGTGTCAATGTCCTCCTGCTTCGAGTTCTAGAATTGAGCAATTCTTGATTGTCCCTTGTTTGTTTGGCATTCCGTCAGCATTGAGGGCCCGGATGGGGACTTGGAGTGGTCGGATGGGAAGTTTCTTCTCTAGGATGTATCGATAGTCTACGAAGGAGTCTTGTGCTCCAGTATCAATGAGGGCTTGGGTTTCGACAATTTGATCCGTGATTAGGGCGATTGGAATACGCATAGATTGTTTAGTGGTATTCACCATAATGACAGCACGGACCTGCGTGCGTGGTCTCAACATCGCAGCGGACCACGTTCTCAAAAACCCTCATCCAGAATGTTGTCGACAGTAAGGTTCCGCTCTTGGGGGCTTCTAGCATCCCTGAGTGCTGTGCATATTCTGGCAGCAACAATGCCTCAATTGTCGTTTGTGGACTCATCTTATTCTGGCGTGTCTTCTTCCATGTTGGTTAAGTGCATCTTGCATGCTGGTTGCTTCCCTTTCTTCCGGTTGGGGCAGGTACGAGCGAGGTGTCCTATTTCATGGCAGAGAAAACATCTTCCTTCTTTGTAGTGTTGTTCTTGCTCCTCAGTTGTCATGCGATTGACGTCCATGGCATCAGGGTCTCTCTCCTTGTGGTTCAAATATTGTTTTGGTGAAAACATCAGTTTCTTTGCCGTGTAGTTTCTATCATAGGTTTGCCCGAGCCTCCACTGTTGTTCCAGGCGAGAGGCTTTGGTGTAGAGGTCTGTGGCATTCTTCGGCATGTCGGCAGAGAGAAGAGCTTTTCTCTTAGTGGCTTGTTCAGTCCTTGATAGAAAAAGTCGGCGATGACTTCGAATTGCGTGATCCTGCAGCGAGAGATAATGTTCTTGAAGTCAAGGATGTATTCATCTACAGTCTTCTTGCCTTGGTGGAGGTTTCACAGCAAGACTCTGGCACTTGCTTCAGTATTGATGTCTTCGAAAGAACTGTTGCGTTCTGCAACAAAGTTTGCCCAGGTGCCATAGTAGACTGGGTCTTGATCCTTGGCTTGGGTGATGTAGTCGCTAGCCCATTGTCCGGCTGTTCCCTCATTCATTAGCATGAGTGCGAACACCAGTTCCTTCTTGTCAGTGTCGAAGTGGTTGCAATTGAAAGCGAAGTATAGGGAGCATTTCTGGGTCCATCCCTTGGCTTCCCCCTCAATTTCCTGTGAATTCAGGGGGCATCTTGATCTTGGATCGTTCTTCTGCCATTGTAGAGGTGTTCACTCCTGGTTTGTCCGGTGTAGGGTTTGTTCGGGGTTCTTCTTCGTGGATGATGATCGCAGCAACAGTGCTTGTCAATACTGGGAGTTCTCCAGTGGTTCTGGGGGCTGGGGTAGCGAAGCTGTTGTCGGTGTGTTTGAACTCGCTCTCAGAGTTCTCTTTGTTCTGGTGCAGGTTCCCTTGGGCCAAGGGCTTTTTGTGTGATTTGTTTGATAGGGTCAGGTTACCCTCCAATCAGGGGTGTGTCTTCTTGTTAAAGTGTGATATTGTTTGTTGTAGGTGGGGTGTTCTGTTCTGAGTTCTTTCTTCGCTTCTCACAAAATACTATGTGTTGTTGTTTCCTGGATATACAGTGCCTTACAAAACTATTCCCAGAAATGACAGGGCCTTCCAGTTTCAGCTTCCGAGTGTAGCAGAGTCTGAGTTCACAGCCTTTCCCCAGCGGTCATAAGAGAAAAAAGAATGCAGTAGGACCCCACGATCAGCTGCAAACTCACATGTGCGTCGAGCGTTGATAGCGTCTCTGTGGGCATTGCAGGCAGTTATGATACTGATTTGTCTGAATCGAGGATCAGACAACGATGGTCCGGCAGGACAATCTGTAGCTATTTTTGTCCTGAGCAACGCAATGTCAGTAGCGGTACATCAGCCATATCTCATGTTCTCTAGTGCAATACATCTTCATGACACAAACCACGCTGGCGCATGTTCTCGCGCAAAATTACTACCATGGTGAACTGGTGCCACAACACCTTTCCAAGAGCATTCTTTTGTGCTGAGGGTGCAGAAGTAGAAGACCATTTTCCCACAAAAGAACTGTACAGTGAGGGAGCTCTCCCTGGGGGTGGCAGCTGACGGAACGACAATGACGCGGAACAGCGATGGCATGCATGGACAGCAAAGTTTGGAGAACTTTATATGCGCAAGGAGAGACGGCGTGACAAGGAACAACAGCAGCGAAGGAGGAGGGCCGACGTGTGACGACGGTGGGTGCCTGAGCAGTGCTACAGAAAGACAGTAGAACAAGGTACATTGAGGAGCGCATGGGAGGGACGCCAGCGACCACGGGGAACGAAGAGAAATCACGATAGAGCACTGGATGAAGGTTAGCGTAAAGAAGTGCACGAAGAAGGAAAACTTACAAGGCTGAACCATGGCATGAGAGAGACTGAGAGACGGAGGCAGACAAAGTGAACGCAGGGCGATGACGCAGCTAGGAAAAAAAGTTAAAGGCAAGGTGAGAAGTTAAATACCAAAAACGCACATAAGTCGCAGAGGTTCAAAAGCGAGCGCAGAGGAGGACAACGGGAAAGAACGGAGAAACACGGAAGAAATCGGGTATCCAACAAAAGTCACGTGAGGGGTAGAAATTCACGGGCTGTTAACCGATCCCATGTGGAATCGGAACTTGATTGTTCCCTGCTAAACTACCTGGTACAAAACTGTTTTCAGGAGGTGTGGGTAAAGAACATATTATAACTTTGGAAGCTCACCACCACAATTTATGAACCAACTATCTACGGAAAGCCAAGATATATAGCTACGTAACATAGTTTAAATCGTAGCATTCCATGCAGCCGTTACCGAGATATTTATGAAAAGGCGCTGGATGGTCATTTCTGGAAATAGTTTTGTAAGGCACTATATAAATCCAGACAAATATGCTGATAGCTTCAGCATAGTGGCCTTTTGGCCCAGTTGTTAGATTGTGGTATTCTCTGGGCACGGTCTCTCACAGGAGGTCAGACAAGTGATAGGGGAACAAGGAAGTTCGCATTATAACAAGATCTCTGAACTGAGTAGCTAGGACATTCCAGGGTACATATTTATAAGTGCGGAGCCTATTGTCTAGTGAGAACAATAAAGAAAGGTACATATGAAATTTAGAACCCAGAGTACATCCAGAGTTCCGAAGTCCGAGACAAAAACAATAAGATATTATTGTTTTACAGGTGAAACATAAAATGGTGTGATAGGACAAAATTAGACATACAGTGTTTGGGATCGGAATTTGGGACACAGAGTTTGGGATCAGGGTTCGGACTTTGGGGTTGGAGCATGGGACGTAACAGCAGGCTGCATGGGCTGCAAAAAATACCATAGTCACTGAACTCTTCCCCATGACATTCTCAAAGAACTTGATTGTGGATGTACATATCTCTGCTGACTGATGACCCTCATTGGCTGCAGTAGCAATGTTTATATTGTTTCCTTGCCCATGTAAACTATGGACATGCTGCCTATGATCTATCTAGTTATGTCCAAGTCTGTCCATCTTGATAATTACTTATTGTGTCATATTCCCCACACTAATGTAGTTGTCGCTTGAGTCTTGTGATGTGTAACACTGTGACAACCTGGCCAATTGTGCATTGTGTCAATCTTCTGTAAATGTACTATACACTCTGCATGATACATTAGAAAAAAAGCACCCTCACACCTCAGTCGTTCTTCCACTGATTGAGGTATGTGCACCTGCATTCACTAATAGGTTATGAGCCATGCTCGCCATTAGTGGGAAAAGCTCATCAGTCAGGATCACCCAAAGACACTTACAGACTCAATTCATCCTATCCACATCCTACCCCACACCATTCATTAATGACTGTGATCTCCTATGATCTCCTCAGATCTTGCCAATAACTACGCAACTTGCTGCTGCTAACCACAACCTGACTACACCACTCAAAAAATGTGTTGATACAAACACTGCATGAAGGATCATGGCCAAGTCATTTGGGCTTGGGCAATGCAGATGCAAGGTGTACTCAAGTACACTCATACGGTAAGAGGTGCTCTGACAGCCAATAGCCGAGGGGTAGAGGATGTCTAGAGGGGGGGATGAAGGGGAGTCAATAAGCGGTTTGAACATGGTACTCATTGAGGAGCGCAGGGGACATGTTCCCGAGGATTGAGAGAGTAGGGGATGGATTGTCTGGGGGGTTCAAATGCTCCCAAAACTACTATGCACAGAAATGCATGAAGGCTGAATCGAAACACGTGCTACAAGACGGAAGCAACAGGCTCAGAGACTGTACGAGAAGACGATAGACCCTGTGTGTGCGGACGATTCCATCTCTTTGAAACTGCAGGAAATGTTGTGGCAAGTTCCTCCTTGCATGTCTGACCATCACGCTGGTATTCTAACACTGTGCATTGGTATGCCAGTTTTGCTCAAGTTCAACAAGGCTACTGAGCTGTGTGCTACCAATGGCGCAGAGGCAGAAGTTGTTAAAATGGTAGCTGGTAAAACACCGTGTGGGAGGCCTTGCCTTGAATCACTTCATGTTCGTTTGACTTCTCCGCCACGAAATGTGCAGGTGCTGGGCTTGCCTATG